AATTATGCAAATTTCTACCAATTCAGATTGTTTTTGTTCTAGGTGTTGCGGTATTTTGTGAGTTTAAAAAAGAAAATCATTCATGGATGCGAGGGAGCCTTATGGACTTGATTCGTCTGAATGCTCGGGCATAATGACTGCTTCTAATTCTTATGGAATTGGAGCTGGAGTTCCAAGCCACTCAATGACCGTGGCTAAGTCTGCTGTGATGAGGTTTCCAACTAACACGATTTCATCTTCTGCACTAAAGCCATTGGATGCTTTAGGTTCAAATTACCCTGGAGATGGTGAGCTTGTTGGAATAGGACCAGGTGGTATGTTTGTTATGAGCGAGCCCATGAAGAAGAAAAGAGGAAGGCCAAGGAAATATGGGCCTGATGGGACTATGGCTTTGGCTCTTTGTTCTACGACTACTACATCTGAGTGCAACAAAACTAACACTTCACTGTCCCAACCCCCGGCTAAAGGACGAGGTCGTCCACCAGGATCTGGAAAACGGCAACAACTTGGTGCTTTGGGTACTTGTTCATTTTCCGTCTTAATTTTCTTGAATTTATTACAAAATTCAATTCCTTATCTGGTTTAGTTTTCAAATTGCATGTTCATATGACAATTGTGTCATCAATTTGTTTATTTCTTGATTTTGGAAACCCGTGTGAATGTCTTTCTATCATGTTCTTAGCAAACTTCACATCTATGGTACATATACTAGTGGCGCAGTTTGTAGAGATGACACTTGTTGCCAAGTGTAACTGACAGATGCTGCATCACATTAAAAATTTTGTATTCAAATGTATCTATTATTATTTAACTTTCAACTTCTTAGTTTAAAGATTATCACGTGAATCATGACTAGGGGGTCAAACGAGCTGAGTCAACATCGAGCCACAGCAGATTGGAGTTCGTCTTGCATTGCAGAAAATCTGCTCGAGCTCGAATTGAGATAAAAAATTGGGCTTGAGCTCAACTCAAGAATATTAATTTGTGCTTGAGTTTGGCTCGTTAACTCGGGTTCAATTGGAATGCTTGATGTTGACTCATGTATATGCTCATTAGAGTGACACGGTATAATTTCAGTTTGAATATTGGCTCGATTAGCATATAATGAGAAACCTTTAAAACAATATGTTAATTTATGAA